CAGCCCCACAGAGCCCCCACAGAGCCCCCAGCCCCACGCAGCCCCCAGCCCCACGCAGCCCCCAGCCCGTACCTGGATGCAGCCGCAGCGCTGGGCCGGGCCCCCCTCGCGCAGCCCCCGCACGAAAACCCCGGCGGGGCCCCCCCGGAGGCTGAACCCGAACCCGCCCGGGCCCCGCGGCAGCTCCACCGCGAACGGGGAGGAGTCCTGGGGGTACACACCAGTACAGACCAGTACACACCAGTACAGACCAGTACAGACCAGTATAGACCACTATAAACCAGTAACCCGCCCGGGCCCCGCGGCAGCTCCACCGCGAACGGGGCCGAGGCCTGGGGGCACACACCAGTATGAACCAGTACAGACCAGTACAGACCAGTATAGACCAGTACAGACCAGTATAAACCAGTAACACACCAGCAACCTGCCCAGGCCCCATGGCAGCTCCACCGCAAACGGGGGGGAGTCCTGGGGGTTACACACCAGTACAGACCAGTACAGACCAGTATAAACCAGTAACCCGCCCGGGCTCAGCAGCAGCTCCACCATGAATGGGGGGAGTCCTGGGGATTGCACACCAGTACAGACCAGTACAAACCAGTAACACACCACTGTAAGCCAGTATAGACCAGTATAAACCAGTAACACACCAGTAACCCGCCCGGGCCCCGCGGCAGCTCCATTGCAAACGGGGAAGAGGCCTGGGGGCACACACCAGTATGAACCAGTACAGACCAGTACAAACCCGTATAGACCAGTATAAACCAATAACACACCACTATAAACCAGTATAGACCAGTAACACACCACTATAAACCAGTACAAACCAGTAACACACCAGTAACCCGCCCGGGTCCCACGGCAGCTCCACTGCAAACGGGGAGGAGTCCTGGGGGCACACACCAGTATGAACCAGTACAGACCAGTATAGACTAGTACACACCAGTATAGACCAGTAACACACCACTGTAAACCAGTATAGACCAGTAACACACCACTATAAACCAGTTCCACACCAGTATACACCAGTAGAAACCCAAAGCCACCCGGGCCCCGCGGCAGCTCCACCGCAAGTGGCGGGGAGTCCTGGGGCACACACCAGTATGAACCAGTACAGACCAGTATAGACCAGTACACACCAGTACAAACCAGTAATCCACCCAGGCCTGCTGGGGGGCGGGTGGTCCTGGGACCAGTATAAACCAGTTCCACACCAGTAACACCAGTTACACACCAGTAACACCAGTAACACCAGTTACACACCAGTAACACCAGTACCGGCAGTTACAGACCAGTTACACCAGTTCCACACCAGTTATCCCAGTTGCACACCAGTTACACACCAGTAACACCAGTACCGGCAGTTACAGACCAGTTACACCAGTTCCACACCAGTTATCCCAGTTGCACACCAGTTACACACCAGTAACACACCAGTTCCACACCAGTTATCCCAGTTGCACACCAGTTACACACCAGTAACACCAGTACTGGCAGTTACACACCAGTTGCACACCAGTTATCCCAGTTACACACCAGTTACACACCAGTTACACACCAGTTACACACCAGTATCACCAGTTACACACCAGTTACACACCAGTTGCACACCAGTTACACACCAGTATCACCAGTAAATCCCCAGGGCCTTGAGGCAGCTGCATCCCCGCCCTCCCCATCCCCTCCCAGTGCTCCCAGTGCCCTCCCAATTCCCTCCCAGCGCCCTCCCAGTGCTCCCAGTGCCCTCCCAATTCCCTCCCAGCGCCCTCCCAGGCCCAGCCCTCCGTACCTGTGCCCAGCCCAGTCCCCCCCAGTCCCTCCCAGTGCTCCCAGTCCGTACCTGTGCCCAGCCCAGTTCCTGGCCCGGCCCCCCCCTGGCGCTGCTGGGGCTGCTCAGCTCCTGCTCTGGGGAGAGGGCTCCCAGTAGCACCAGTATGACCAGTACAGCCACCCAGTGCTCCCAGTATGACCAGTATAACCAGTATAGCCACCCAGTACAGCCACCCAGTGCTCCCCAGTATGACCAGTATAGCCACCCAGCATTCCCAGTATGCTCCCAGTATGACCAGTATAACCAGTATAGCCACCCAGTACAGCCACCCAGCGCTCCCAGTAGCACCAGTATGACCAGTAACAGCCAGTATGGCCACCCAGTGCTCCCAGTATGACCAGTATAGCCACCCAATACAGCCATCCAGTGCTCCCAGTATGACCAGTATAGCCACCCAGTACAGCCACCCAGTGCTCCCAGTATGACCAGTATAGCCACCCAGTACAGCCATCCAGTGCTCCCAGTGCTCCCCAGTATAACCAGTATAGCCACCCAGCATTCCCAGTACAACCAGTAACAGCCAGTATAGCCACTCAGTGCTCCCAGTGCCCCCCCAGTGGCCCCAATGCCCCCCCCGGTGCCCTCCCAGTGCCCCCCCAGTACTCTCCCAGTGCTCCCAGTTCCCTCCCAGTCCCTCCCAGTGCTCCCAGTGCCCCCAGTACCGGCGGGCAGCAGGTCCCGGGGCTCAGGCCCCACGAAGCTGGTGACAGCCACGGGCGCAGGGGGGACCGCAGGGCCTGCGGGGGGACACTGCACCAGTGCCACCAGTGCCACCGGGGCCACCGGGGCCACCGGGGCCACCCAGTGCCACCAGTGCCACCAGTGCCACCAGTGCCACCGGGGACACCGGGGCCACCGGGGACACCCAGTGCTCCCAGTGCCACCAGTGCTCCCAGTGCCACCGGGGACACCGGGGCCACCGGGGCCACCGGGGCCACCAGTGCAACCAGTGCCACCGGGGCCACC